ATAAACATTTTRAGCCTCTTGAAACTTTCTAATTTTGAGCTCTCTGTCAAGAACATCTTGATGCAAAAATTCTCTTTCTTTTTGGRAGWATTMTTTGASAGAAGTAACATTGCATTTCTCATGCTCTACCTTCCTTAACTCATCAACCTTGTTTTGTAACTCCTTTTGAATTTCGGCAAACTTTTCTTTTGAAGATTTTTCCAAGTTCACAAAGTTTGTTTGTGCCTCTTCTAACATTTTCAAAAACCTGTTTCTTTCCTCTGTGAGAAGAATGACTTTTTTTCACAAATAGAAAGTTTTTCTTTAAGCTTGTAATGTTCCAAATGGCATGAATCAAGATTATCAATTGATTCAGAAGAGTAAGAAGTGGAAACCTCTTGGTCATTTGAGTTAGAGGAGTCGGAGTCAATATTTGCCATTCCACAGAAGATCTCATCCTCTGTGTCTGACAGAGATTCACCATCCTTAGCCTTGAAGCTATGATATTCATTAATACAAATGGCTCGGTTGTTCTCAAGAGTCTTCTTCCCTTCTTCCATCTGTTTCTCCAATTCTGCCCAAATGTCCATAGACAGATGGCAATGATCAATACATTTGAAGATCTCATGAGGTATAGCCATGATTAACATCCTTTTGCTTTTGCTTTCTAATTCAACCAGTACCTTTTCTTCATCGTTCCAATTTGCGATTGGTTTGGGCTCATAGTGCTCAGGAACTTCGGGGGTTGTACCAGTTGCTGGAACTCTTGGAATCAAATTCATTGGCACATATGGAGGATTGTAGAGAAATTCACAGATTCTGGGGTGAATTCCCTCCAAAAAGTTGATCATGCGCACTTTCCATTGCGGATATTCCTTACGGATAAGCGTAGGAGGCTTTGATTGAGATCCAGTACTCATGAACGAGGTATTAACCAAGTTCGCCATTGAAATTTGAAGAGGTGAGTGAAACAGGTGATCTGAAGAAAACTGGTGTTCTAGAAAACACAGATTAATACCAAAAGCAGAATTAATCGAATAAGAATTCAATTCCCGCTCTGATACCAATTGTTGGATCTTAAATTCAGCTTTGATATTGATCTAATACTCTAGAAAAGCTCTTGAACAATGAAGTGCAGMGGWAGTAACAATGAGAGCAAAACAGAGTATTAAGAACACACAGTATTGATGAAGAAGATGAACACAGGAGAATTGCTTCAAAGGTTTTTCAATCAATTCAATTGAAAAATTAGACGATTACAATACGGGAAGCACCAGATTACAAAGGCCTTAGCCGCTATTTATACTAGTTCCTAAYGACCTTAGAGACCAGATCTTGACGCGTGTCTTCATCTGAGCCATCCAAATAAAGTCGATTATTCCCTAGTCACGTGAGAAACACATGCGGCTAACAATCTTTGTAAACTGATGGAACAGAAACTTCACAGAAGACGAAATCCGCAGAMCCTCTGTGAGCCATCTCAGAGGATCTGCTGTAATTGACTTGCATGTTCTATATTACAGAGGACTATTTTCCAGAACCTCTGTGAGACATACGAGAGGTTCTGTCATACTTAACTTGATCGATCAAACGGCTTCTGTCGCTTAGTCCTCTATGGTCTTCTGTGTAGTTATTCTTCTGTCAAGACTTGCAGTATACTTTTTCTATACTTTTACAAAATAGGAATAATTGAGCTAACATATATGCTATTATTAAGATATCGATGATTGAATGGAAGACCTGGTGAGATGAGTCTCAAAAAGTCTTATATATACAGTACATTCGTTGTACTGAGTATATCTGTTATACTTACAGGCCAATCTTTTTATAAGATTGAAAACAATTTCATACGTTGAAACTGGCTATTATCTTCCCATTCTCTTAATCTGAAAAGATTAAACAAGTGGATTTGAAAAGATCTACTTACAATTTCATGAATTGACGGCTTTCACGGGAAATTTCATTCATTCTTGTGTATGATGTCATGATTCTCATTTCGTCATAAGGGGGAGTACGTGATAATGAATGAAATGTCCAATTCCGAACATTATGAGGGGAATTTGTTGAAAAGATTAAGGGGAAGTAACATCAAAGATGGCAAAAGACTCAAAAGGAGTGCGACTGGAGATGATTACAGAAAATTATTCCGATGATAAAATGACTGAGAGATGTTGAATATGAAGACCAATTTTACAACAGTTTACTGAAGATCAATTTTGAATATCGTTATTATTTCTGATCTATATTGTCTAAAGAGAAGATCATCATAGTTCTACATTCGAGGGGAGAATATTAGAAGATCTTTCTCAAACAAATGATTGTCTGAAGATTTCAAGTTGAAGATTGTTTTTGAAAAAGATATAGAGTGCTTAAAGCTACAAAGTTCAAATGAGACTCAAAGCATGCAAATTCTTTCAAGTTTGAATACAAAGGGGGAGAATGTTAGGACTGAATTTTTCAGTGTAAAATTGTATTCGTCTTGAAAGTTAATTTTGTCTATAAATGTATTAAAAGTCATTGTGTTTGACTTTTCTTAGGATAGTTTGACTTTGACTTTGTCTAGATGTTTGACCTTATATATAGGGTGAGTTCCTTGTATTTTGGTAAGAAGCTTATTTGTAAAAAATCTCATGTACATAATAAAGTTGACTATTTGACAAATCCTCTCAAGTCTCCTTCTACATGTTCTTATTGAATATCATCTCTGCCATGGATTCTCAAGTGTTCCATTGAAGATTGATCATATTAGGGACTATCATTATCCAACCACTACTAGAAATGGGTTATATGATACCCGTGTCTAGCCACTTCAAAATTTCTTTCTTAACAACTTCCTTCATGATGCGATTAGTGTTCTTTAAGGTTGCACCTTTCCAACACTATTTTCTTCCAAAATTATCTTATGTTAGCAAAGAGACAGACTTATTCCCCTAATATCTCCTATGGTCCAACCAATGGCTTTCTTGTGATATTTCAAAAAATCTATCAACCTTTCTTCTTGTTCACTACTTACGTTGGAAGAGATAATTACAGGCAATTTTTCTCCTTCCATAAGATATGCATACTTAAGATGTGTGGGAAGCAGTTTTAACTCTAAGTCGGGTGCTTTTACAATGGATGGGGTTTGGGTTGGTCTATCCTTAAAGTCCAACTGTTCAAAGACAACTATATCCTCAAATAGGTCTTCTTCAAAAATGTCTTCTGCTATACCCACATTGTCCCCACTGTAGTACAGTTTATCAAACTTAAATCTAGATTTTCACCTATTGAGTAAATAGACGAACAATCCTAAATTTCTCCATTGAACTTAAAGGATTTAAATACATAGAAAGTCACTTGTTGGTCGTTTACTTTCATTGTTAACTCTCCTTTTTGCACGTCAATCAATGTTCTTCCCGTGGCGAGGAAGGATCTTTCTAATATGATCGGGACATTCATATCGGCTTCATAATCTAACATTAGAAAGTGGGCCGAAAAGAAATTTTGTCCACTTTAACCAAAATGTGTTCAATTTTTCCTCTTGAATATGCTAAAGACCTATCTGCTAGTTGCAAAGTCATAGTGGTTGGTCGGACTTCCCCTATTCCTAATTTGTCAAATACGAACAAAGACATGAGATTTATACTTGCTCCAAGGTCACAAAGGGCATAACCTACTTTCTTCCCTCCAATGGAGCATGGCATGGTGAAACTTCCTGGTTCTTTGGGAGGGATTTTTCAAGTAAGGAGCGCACTACATTCCTTTTTCAAAAACATAGTTTCAAATTCACTTAGTCTTCTCTTTTTGTTAAGGATGTCCTTCAAAAATTTAACATAATTAGTCAATTGCTCGAGACCTTCTACTAATGGTATGTTAATGTGGAGTTGCTTAAAGATGTCCAAGAACTTCTTAAGTTGCACATCCATGTTTTTGGTTTTCATCTTACCCGAAAAAGGTAAATATCTTAGATCAAAGTCTGTTGGACTGGTTTTTTTGTTAGGGAGTGGGCACATTTTGCCCACTGTGGGCAGTTTGAGCTGGAGATTCGGCAGTGTAGGAACTGGGCAGAGTTGCTATTTTCTGGACAGAACCCGACATCTGTGTTATCTCAACTTAAGAAAACAAAATCGGAAATTTTAATTTATCAAAGGAATGTGAATTATTTTCTTTACAGATCAGTGCGTCAGATGCTTCATTTGTGTTACTAGATTCTGCTAAGTTTTCATCACTTCTAAAAGTCACGACCTTGACATGTTCTTTATGGATTCCCTTAGATGTTTCCTTGTCACTAGGCAATGTTCCTTGAGGTCTACTCATGAGATAAGTGACAAATTAGCTGAGTTGGCTCTCAAAACTTTTGAAAGTGGCATTGGTTTGGTTTATAAAATCTTTAAATAAAGATTCGATTGAACTATTGCCTTCTGATGTACTTTCTTGTGTAGGTGCATGTGATTGAGAGGATTACCCACTTTGGTACATGCAAGGAGCAAGTTACTAAAATCCCAGGGATTTGGTGATCAATTTTGGACTTGGGTTGCCCCTAGGGGTTGAAGTCCAAGATTTCCTGCTCAAGAAAAATTGGGATGGTTTCACCAATTTGGAGTATATGTTGGACAAAATGGGATATTTCTAGCATGACTCCCAACATAATTCCCTGATATGGGGTTACCGGGACAACTCTCACAAGCATGACACTTGCCACAAAAAGCACAAGATTCATTCATGGAAGGATTTATGAAACTAGCTTGCATTTGGTATTTTCTCTAGTTAAATTTAAATTCTTTTTAACCAAATTAGTTAAAGCTACAATTTGTGTGTTTAAAGCGGTGATGGCATCAATCTCATGAATTCCTGATGTAGTTTTGGGAACAATGACACGAGGGTTTGACCAATCGGTGTTATTATTGGCAACTTTTTTCAAAATATCATATCCTTCATTATAAGTTTTAGAAGTGAAAGCGCCACAGGGCGTAGCGTCAAGAACAATTTTAGCGGTATTGGGGAGTTCATTATAAAATGTTTCCAGTTGGATGTAATGAGGAATTCCATGGTAAAGACATTTCCGAAGAAGATCCTTGAATCTCACCCATGCATCTTAAACTCTTCATCTTCTTCTTGATAAAACATTAAAATCTCTTTTCTAAATTTTACATTCCTCGTAGGAGGAAAATATTTCATTAGAAAATTTTTAGCCGATTTTGTCCAAGTAGTAATTGATTTTGGTGGCTGAGCATTTAGTCATGCTCTTGCTCTATCATTTAATGTATAAATGAAGAGCGTCAAGTGTAAGGCCTCTTCGGTAACTCTAGGAATACGAAAATGATATGTCATTTCTAAAAATGATTTTAAGTGAGAGAGCGGATCTTAAGACGACAACCCCCCAAATTGACCCATTGCTTGGATCATTTGGAGCATTACTAGTTTTGGTTCAAAATATGTAGCAGTCATTTTGGGCTTACGAATCCCCGAATCCAATTTACCAAATTCGGGTGTTGCATAGTCACGTATTCCCCTATCTTTGTCCTAGGCCTTTTTAATTGTGGTTTTCGAAGGAGGTGGTGGTGGATTACCCTCAGTGGTTCGATTAATATAGGGGTTTTCCTGATTATTTTTACCTCTCCTTCGTCTATTTATAGTTCTTTCAATCTCAAGATCAAGAGTTAAAAGTTCACCGTGTTGTAGTCGTCGCATACAACACGAGAAATGCGTTAAGCAAGAAACAAGCGACCAAGGCTCAAATGCATATCAATATCTCAGGATAAAAATTGCACCAATCCCCAGCAGCGGCACCAAACACTTGATAGTTATGAGTCGTAAGTGTTAACACAGTGGTCACAAAGTCCCATCAGTGGCGGTGCAAGTGCACGCCGATACTGTGATTGCTTCAAGTAATAAAGAGGTATAGTACCAAGATCGTTTCCATAGGGATTGGAGTAGTGAGAATTAGAGAGTTTCATGAACTTCTTGAGCACCTTTTGTTGATCCTCTCTCTCAGTGATTTGATGATAATCCCTTTTTCCTTTCGATGTATTTTATGTTTCTGTACTTTCAGTTCCAGCGATCAATACACTGAGCATGTTCAGTGATCGCTGAAGAACTCGCATTGTAATTCATTCAGAGACAACTACTTCAAGAAAACAACACTCACACCAAAGATCCTTCAGCAAATGTCGAAGACTGAAACTGAAGATTAGTGACTGGCGCGTACGTGATCTGAAGCGGTATTCAGTGATTACAA